TCGAGCCATTTGAGTACGTTGTCACAGAGCCACCAGAATTGCAGAAGGCTGGAACCAGACTCATGGAAGGACTAGAATGCAATGAGTGCATTGCACTGAAGGACTTGTACTCTGAGTGGGGAGATGAACGAGTGCAAGCTCGGATCATTGCAAATACCGCTTTGTTGGCTGCGCTCACGAGCCCATTTGCAGAATCCGCGTCTTCGGCGAAATTTCCATCCTGGACTCCCCGGACCCGGTCAATGTCACAAATCGTCAAATGCAAACCTTTTGAGCCTGTTGACGGGGAATTGCTGAAGTTGATGTGGGTGAAGATAAGGCGAGATTATGCTAAGTGGAAACTGGGAGGGGTGGTTTCTCGTGTGATTGCCCAGCGATGTGTATGCTATTCCTACATACATGATCTTCACCCACATGACGCTGTCAGGAACGAGGCCTTCCGTTGCATGAATTTGGGAGTGGCCTTCGCTCAGTTCACCGCTTACACCACGTTGATGGATTTCTTGAAGTCGAAGGGCAAAACGCTTTCGGACTTGCACGAGTTGCTTCCTACTCCCTTTATTACCGACTTCAAGGCAGCAGTTGAGCGTCGACGCAGTGATCTGAAAGCATCGCCTTGCTGGTATCCCTACTGCCACGCACTGAAAACAAGTTTCGTTCGTGAATTTTCACTTCGTAATTGTCAAGATATTGCCTATTTTGGCATAGCTCTTAAGGCTCTGTGGAGGGATGTGAATGCTACCGTAGGAGATGCTGCTGGTGTTGAACTATCGGAAGAGGTCAAGAAGCAATTGTGCGAGTACGCGAAAATTGTCGTTGCGGAATGGCAAGAGGCGACACCTGTGCGTACTCGGTGTTCGACATCTGCCTGAAGACGTCGCGTTTAAGCGACAAGGCACACACCCAATCCGTCCAAGAAGCACGCACCGAAGCGGCAGCCTTTCTCGCTGTCACCGCCTCCTCAAAAGGACCGTTGTCTCGATTTATTGTAAATCCATTCATATTACATTTTCACAATTGTTAGTTGTTCTGTTCCTTGGAAGCAATTTGAAATGTATAAAGCATTAAAATCGCTATCGACTTTCCCGACATGATTTTGCGTGGTTGTGATTTGGAATGGCCCTGGTTTAACAACGGAGACCGCGTCTTCACTTCAAGGCGTTAATTCCAACAAATTAGCAACCACCTTGCGTGCTTTAAAGGGATTTGGTTTGATGGCTCACCCTCCACCATGAAATCACGCGCACAGTTAGATTGCGTCAGTTGAGTTTACTGGCTTACCGGCATGTGATGCTGGTGAAACTGTAGTGATAGTTCAAATGCACTGAGACACTAATTGGTGCAGCTTGTTGATCCACCATACAACCAATTACCTCTATTTACACATTAGTAACCTTCTCGCTTTGACGGGAACTCACATTAT